AATCATAAACAGAAAATATTTTGAACTTACAACAAGCATTCCCATGTGTCGAATGACGTTGTTTGCCTTATGTTAGTAACCATGTCCTACGAGCTCCAAAACGGATTTTTTAACTGAGGTGCATATAACATAAACTATTAGCTCAAAGAAATATTCCAAGATCAAGCTAGACAAGAATGATTCGATATCGTAAAGTCCCTCATGACATATAAACATCAAGAGGGAGAATTTGTGTGTGCACATGTTTAAAAGAGGAAATCATAAATAGACAGATTAGAAAATCTAGGTATCTAGTTTCCAAATGAGTTAGCCATTGACATGGTTCTTAACTCGCTTTCTAGTTAATACCACCAATTCATTATGGGCTATAATATGAATAATACAGATAAGACCTTGATGGAGCTACATGTCATGATGAAAACTACCGAAGTGAGTATGCTAAAAACTTGCAACTTTAACTCCACTGCTCTTTTCTTGGCCATTGGACATGGTACTGCTAAAAGGAAAGAGGTTTCTCCTCCCAAGGTTAAGGGAAAGACCAAGCTTGGACAGTCTAACCAAAGTTTTAAGAGAAAGGTCGAATCTGATATAGCTCCTACATTGACCCCAACAATGCCATTTGTTTCTACTGCCAATAGAAGGGGAATTGGAAACATAACTGCCAAAATACCTACAAGATCTAAAGAAGAACAAAGTCAAAGAGTGTGGCACTTCAGGTTTGTTTATGATTGAACTTCTTAGTACAAAACTTCTCATTCGTGTGTCCTTGATACTATATGTGGTACGTACATTTGCTCGGATATGCTGGGATTAAAGGAAAGAATGAAGTTGAAGTATTGGAGCTCAACCTGATCAAGGGAAGCAGACGCACTGTAGGCGTTACAAGGATAAGGATTACAAGATCATTCTTAATAATGGATTTTGTGTTAGATTATTAAATTGTTGCTACTTGCCTGATATGGCTTGAAAGATTATCTACTTTTATGCATTTGTGAAGGTTGTATTTTGTTTCTCTTTTGATAAGGAAAATGGTGATATTTTTGTCTATAAAAAGGGCAGTTTTATTTTCAAAGCTAATCCTTGCAATGGATATATATGAGAATGTTGTTAATGTTAGTAAATTTAATAATCTAATCTTAAACGTTGATTCTTTCGAAAATGTTTTCGATAAGTCTTGTTTGTGGCATTGTCTTGTTGGTCATATAAAAAAGAAACACATCGTGAAGCTCTGATCGGATAGGATGTTGATATCATTCGACCTAAAACCAGATGATGTTTGTGAATCTTGCTTACTTGGAAAGATGACAAAAACACCATTCACATGCAATTGTGAAAGAGAAAAATATGTTGGACATTATCAACATAGACGTTTGTGGACAACTTATATCTTCCACAAGACATGACAAATGATATTTTGACTTTTAGTGATGATTTTAGTAGTTATGGCTATATATATTTAATCAAATAGAAGTCAGAAAATTTTGTAGTGTTCAAAGATTTTCAAAATGAAATAGATAAGCAACTGGGAAAAAAGATCAAGAGGCTTCGATCCGATAGGGGTGGAGAATATCTTAGTCTTGAATTCATTGATCATGTAAAGGATTGTGGAATAGATTCACAATTTTCTCCTCCCAGAACACCATAACTTAATGGCGTTGTTTAGAAGAGAAATCAAACGCTATCAGATATGGTTCGATCTATGAGGAATCATGCTAGACTTCCAATAAGTTTATGGGTTATGTCTTAGAGACAACAGCCTACATCTTAAACATCGTACAGACTAAGAAGTTTGCTAAAACACCTTCTGAAAGGTGGAACGAGAAACATCCCACTCTTTCACAAATGAAAGTCCAGGGTTGCAAAGTTTTCGTCCGTCGCGAGGCCAATGAAAAACTAGAACCCAAATCAGAGAAGTGTTACTTCGTGGGTTATCCCCAAATGTATTTTGGAGACTTGTTCTACAAGCCGCTAGAGAACAAAGTGTTTGTGGCTCGAAGGGGATTCTTACTTTTAGAGGGAGCTTATATCTAAATAAGCCAGTTGGATCCCAATATATCTTGAAGAAACTCAAGAGTCAACCGAAGTGGAACCTATAGTTGAAACTAGCATTCAACCTAAGGTTGAACCACCTATTGAGGAAACTGACGTATCTCCACCTTCGCTTCACAGATCCACTAGATTTCATCTTCCTCTTGACTTTTATGGTTTCCATGTTACTACAGAAGGAGACGTATAGATCAATGATGAATCACTGGCATGTATTGATGAGCTATCCAACTATAATGAAGTGATGGAAGGCCCAATGGCAACCCAATGGAAAGAGAGCATGTAGAGAGAGCTTTAGTCCATGTATGATAACTAATTTTAGAATTTGGTTGATCGTACACCTGGCCTTAAAACTGTTAGGTATAAGTAAATCTTAAAGAAGAAGACCAAAATGGATGGGAATGTGCACACGTTCAAATCTAGATTGGTTGTGAAAGGTTATACTCAAACTCAAAGGATTGATTATGAGGAAACCTTCTCATCAGTAGCTATGATCAAGTCTATTAGGATATTACTTGACATAGCTTCCTTCTATGGTTATAAGGTAAGGCAAAATTGAACGGAAATCTGACAGAGGATGTGTATATGGCACAACATGAGAGTTTTATACATCCTAAATATCCAAATAGAGTGTGTAAGATTGAAAGGTCCATCTATGGAATCAAACAAGTATCTCATAGCTGGAATCTTTGCTTTCATGAAAATGTAAAAGAGTTTGGATTTTCTAGAAGAAAATATGAGTCATGTGTATATGTCCAAGCTACTGGGAGTGTTGTAGTGATCCTAGTATTGTATGTTGACAAGATATTACTTATAGGAAAGATATCTCAATGTTTCAAAGTGTGAAGACTTGGCTTGTGGAATTCTTTGCTATGAAGGATCTAGGGGATGCAACATACATACTTGGTATAAGAATCTATAAGGATGGATCGATTTGTCTAATAAGACTTAGCCAAAGTACATACTTAGATAAGATCATGAAGAGGTTTAAGAGGCAAGATTCCAAGAAAGGGTATCTAATCATGCAACATGGCATAAGATTGAGTAAGGATCAATGTCCCAGTACTAGTGAGGAACTAGATAGAATGAGTCAAGTTCTATATACTTCATCTATAGGATCGATCATGTTTGCCATGATATGTACTCAACCTGATGTCTTGTATGCTTTGAGTATGGTGAGTCGTTATCAGGATAACATTGGTGATAGTCATTGGATGGCAGTAAAGAACATCCTTAAATATCTAAGGAGAACATAAGATATGTCCTTAGTTCATGGAGGCAGAGAAGAGTTATCATTTATAGGTTACTATGATGCAATTTTACATACTAATAGAGATGACTCTTATTTAAAGTAAAGATGGGTATTCTTGATAAATAGAGGATCGGTCTCTTAGAATAGTTCCAAGCAGAAGACAACGACAAACTCTACATGCGATTCTGAGTATACTACAGCTAATGAAGCAAAAAAGAGGCTAAATTGATTAAGAACTTCATTTGTGGTCTTTGTGTTGTCCTTAGCATCAAGGATCCAATAGAAATATTATGTGATAATGAAGGTGCAGTCGTTTTGACTAAAGAACCTAAGGATCATGGAAAGTCGAGACATATACTCAAGAAATATCACTACATTAGGAAACGTGTTGAGGATGGCGACATCATAGTGAATAAAGTATCATCAAAGGAGAATCCGATTGATCCCTTCATGAATCCATTATTGAGGACAAAGCATGATAGTCATACTAGGTCCATAGGGATTAGATTTGCAAGTGATATTGCATAAATTTTTAGTTTGGTAAATTTGAAACTTATAATAGTATAAGTTGTAACCGATTTGGTGATTATTTTGTGGTGGCTTGATAATAAGCTGGTTTGCTATCATTTGTGTGTCCATTTATTATTATGTTTCATTTTGCATGCCACTTCCCGAGTATTAATTTACTCAAACCTCCACAGTCGATCATACTCTTGGAAGTAAGTAGTGATTTAAGACTGTCATGAAGTATTAGTACATTTTCCATAATACATAGTGTAGAGATTGCGAGTAATACCCATGAGTACTTAATAGAGATATAAGTATTGGAACAACTCACACTTAGATATTACTTCATGGACCAAGTCATGAGTAATTCTAAGATGATAATTGTTGGATTGATTTTGCAGGTCAACACGCCGTGTTGGAAGAACACCACGGCGTGTTTGATGAACAGAATGACGATTCTGTTTTCTCCTCCTTGTTCAAGTTCAACAATTGTATCAATCCAATAGAAAACTAAACCTGCTCTCTAATACCACCGATGGGTTTTGAGCATAACAAACAATCCTATGTGTGCATGCAACCCTAAATAATTTGATCTACGTTTTCTCTAATTGAACATACAACTTGAACAACAATACATAAAACCCTAGCATGCTTCTATGATTTCGAAATTCACAACTTAGGGTTATATTAATCATGCCTATATAGAAATAGCAATCCAAATACTTGTGTTGTTGAAAACCTTGAGAGCAAGCGTCACAATTGTCACGCCTCTAGTGGCTCACACCCAACACTAACAAGCAATAATGATTGAGAAGGAGGAGGGAGGTTGCAAATTTTCAGTTGGAACTCTTCAAGAACAAGTTGTCGGAAATCATAGGGTATCAGCCTTATTTATAGTGCAGTAAGGAAACCCTATGATAAGCCCAAATCCAAGATTATCTTAAACCGGTTAATTATCCACTTTCCTGATTATCCATTAAAGATTATTCTAGAAACCCTGAGGCATATGAAAACCGTCCATAGCCTATGGAGGGTTCTAGATTGCCTATTGCTCAACTATTGAACAATTACAATTCAATCCATGCACTTTTTAATTAATTCTTTTAATCCCAAAATTAATCCAATTATATTATGATTAAATATTAACTAAATATTACTATTTCCAATTAATATATTATTCTCATAATATATTAATAAATTACTTATTTCAATTTATTAATCAAATTAATAAATCAAACTCCATCTCCAAAATCATCCTGTCTATTGCAAGTCTTGAGGGCAACCCAAAAAGGATTGTGCTACTATCAATTCAAGTATATATCAATTCAAGTATATATCAATGATAGTTATGAGCTTAGACACGTAATCCAACAACTCTTTCTTAGCACCCTCCTTAGCACAAGGTAGGAAATGGTGTAGCATCTTTAGCACCTCCCTTAACACCTCAATTAACTCTTCATACTCCTTATAGCCTAACATGAAAACAAAACACGTTAACCATTTCCACTTCTCTTAGTTTGTCTTACATTTTAAAGAAATACATATATTAAACTGTCTTTTTATATTTCACGAAACACCACAATTTTTTGTGGGCTAACATCACTAATGAAAACTAGATGCGTTCCAGCGCGTTGCGCTGGTCGGAAATGGTGTTGTGTGGGTCGGAATGGTGCATGTTGATTGGATTCAATGTTGAAGTATAATATTATTACAGGAGGATGAAAATAGACATAGTTATGAAAGTAGGTTTGCTATCTTTTGTATTTAACTAAAAATTAAATGCAGAAATAACATATTACTTGTGCTAAACAACACTCAAACTTATCTAATAGAAATGATGAAGAAGTAAAAGCAGGTTCCTACAATTCCATTGAATGTGAATTCAACAATCCTATTAAGATGTTGCCTGTGCCTCTGGCTGTAACTGATGAAAGGGCAGGTTGTAGATGTTTCCTAAAAAAAATATACACATAAAATTATATATAATAATAAATACGTTAAAGAAAAAAAAACCCACCGTTAATATGGTAAAGTTTGTTATCATATTTTATGGATTTGAAGCGGTGGGACTGGAGGTCGGCGATTTAGGGTTCCCCACTTCAAGCGACACAAATTGAAATTGTGCACGTGGAAGACATCTCAAAAGCAGGGACATCATAACCCTCCATACTTGACTTAAAACCTTATTACCCTCGTCATTAACCCTATTATGATAGTCATAACTGTAACTGCCTATTTCTTTTTTTTTTTAGTTAATGGACTTAATTAATAGGCTAAGCCAAAAATTATAGCTTAATGTATTAAAATTGAATAAGCTTGTGATTTTTTTAAATGTAAGTGTAAAATGGTCGTTAAATATAACAAAGGAAAATGAAGATAAGAAAGTAGGTTACCAAATGAGGAATAAATGGATAAGAGAACTATATTATATGACCGGAGGCACATCTGATTGGGGTCCGGTTGGATTCATACCAGAACCTCTCCAAATTTCCAAACAACTTGAGGCCGGAATGCCTCATCTGATACCAATGCTTCTAAATCATCACCAATTATAACCTAACACATAATAATTTGATTAGATTTTAAAATAATCCAAAAGTATTAAATGAAAATAAGGTTTTTATTTTTTAGTACCTTTTTCATTTCAACTATGAATTTAAATCCCCAAAAAAGATCATTAAGTTCCTTTCCATCAATGTCGAGCAAGGGTATATCGGGTATAAGTTAATTGAATTTTTTACTTTTCCCATAAATTTATATGTAAATTACTGAAACCTGATGGATTCCAGTTTCATGATCAAAAGCATTAGCACCAACAATAGCCTTATGTGGTTGCACCATTAGTCCATTGCACTCTTCCACCTAAATAACATATAAAAACGAAAATGCATAAACCAAAGGAAGATGTTATACACCTTTTGTGTTGGATATCAAACAGAAGAAGCAAAGATTCAGTACAAAAATCTGCGAAAGGGTTGACTTTTTTATGAATAAAAGATTGCTATTAAAAGCTGGAAAACAAAATCAGCCACTTATAAGGAATGTGCCAATCGGTTGAAGACTCTCATTAGTGTGTGAACAATAAATTATAGTCATTTAGCCTAAATAATTGGGAGAATATGATCAAATATACATTAAAACAGTACAATCTATAGTATTTTTTTTAAGCCAAATGATATAGAGGCGTATGCGGTTCCAGTTGGATATATAATAATTTATTGTATCTTTCATGTATTGTTTTATAAAAAATGAGTACATACAAAAGTTAACTTTTAACATAAACAGAGAGGCTCTAAAGTGACATTAATTACCAACTTTTGTTAGGTCACTTGTAAAATTGAAAATTAATCCAAAAATCATGCATAACTTAAAAAAAGAAAAAAAAAATTCAGATGTTTATTAACTACTCCAAAGACTTGGAAAAGTAAATACTCTTTTAAAACTAAACTTTTAACATAAACGACATAAATTTAACCGTATCAGATTTAAGTACATAAAATTAACAATAAGACTTACCACACAATTTCCTTTGTTCTAACTTTGAATGCAAAATCAAAAGGTCTGGAGAAGATGACAAGAAGCATAGGTGGTCCTGCTGATAGGTAGCCAAAACAGATTTGGATTCTTCATATTCATTATTGCAACAACAATTTCTGCATCCAAATCCTCAAATCAAGAATATGCTACCTGGTTATCCCTTGATTTTAAAAATGTCAAAACCAAAAGAGGGGTAGTTTCAGTTTAATATAATTTAAGAAGGGTTACAAACATAGTTGTCCACATCAATGTTTGTAATAAAAACTGATATATAAACATAGTTCGACCTAATCATAGATCTTGATATCTGAACAGAAACAAAAATGACATACAACTACCCATTAAGCTTAGCAAGTATTGATGAAGTTGATTTGTAAGAATTTAGCACACTTCTAGACCAGATAGAAGGTAGAAGAAGTAGATGAGAGGAATTCAATAGTTGAAGCAACTGAGAGAACAGAGCCAAAACCTGTAAACAATACAACATAAGAAGTCAGAAAGACAGAAATGTATACAAACTCATACAAAAAACAAAAAAAAAATCCATATACAGAATTTCCTAAAAGGTGAAAGTCAATTTCACATTGAATACCAACATCTGAAAAGAAGGATTCCCCAATTGCTGCTGTGAACCTCGCCTTTTTCCAATTACCTACTCATAAAAAAATGATTAAATAAAATCAGCCTCAAAATAGAAGTTTGTTCTATCTAAACCTTACAGAAAACATGAACCAATCAATAGTGGCTTTTAAGGAAATTTTGAAAATTCGTAGGGGCATTTCATCGAACACCTGGACTGCGTTGCTCTACCAATGATAGGAAAACACTTAAACGAAACCTTCACCCACTGACTTGAACATAAAAGATGACATAACAATCAGACTAAAGCTAAACATAAGAGATTTAAAAAAAGACCAATACTCAGAATTAGAAGATGCTTCATATATCTATTAAAATCAGGTTAAATTTACATAGAACATGAGAAGAAATCTACCGGTCCTTATATATCATATTATCAATCAAATAAGAAAAGCTTTTAGTGAGTATCACCTGCGGCAAACATTCATACATACACCACCGTCAGTTCATGTAGTGCTAGAAAAGAGAAGACGACTCCTCCCTCCCGAACGGCACATAGCCTTAGAGGCACGAAACATAGAGAAGCGGAGAAGCAGTGGAGAAGTATCAGAGAAGAAGTCGATGATGGTATCCATGGATGCGTTCCAGAGAGACACCGGTTGTATATGCAGGGTAAGAGACACCGGTTGTATACAAACCGAGGGAAGGATTTGTTACCGTGAAAGCAAAATACTTACTTTTGGTATACAGATTAGCCAATAGCGTTGGATGTGGAAGCTGATGGTGGACATCGAAGCAATCGATTCGAAGCCCTAAACCCAGATGAAACGCGCTGCAACATCTGTCACTTCAGTGGCGGAGGAAGACGGCCAACAGTTGCAGTCGATCCCGACCTTCGATCTTGTAGTCGATCCTTTTCTGGCGCCTCAACCGTGCTGAAGGTCGTGTGTGAAGCAGAGAAGAGAAAATGAAAGGCGACAGAACTGTAGAAAAACGATGATAAGCGGTGGAAAGGCTGAGGCGGTGGATAACTGGGCGAAAGCAAGGAGGTGATAGAAGAGGAGACACTCACACAGAGGGTTGAGGAAGAATAAGATGAGGCGGTGGGTTCCTCGAACAGTGGAATGAGGAAGGATCCAGATGAAGAATATACCGGATGAGGTACTGTTTAAGGGAGTAAATTGTAAATATGACAAACTTTAGTGACAAATATCTGAACAATTGAAAATATAAAAACTTATGGATCAATTTTGCCAATTCTGAATGAATGCAGTTTACTGTTACTATTTTTCATATCTTTAATATATATATAATAATATGTCATGATCGGGAAATCTAATAAATTTTGTTAGATATAATATCAGAAAAAGTAACTTAATAAATTGTGAGCCTTTTCGCAAGTTAAATTCTCATTTTTTAATATATTCTAAAAATGAAAGTTGTTGGATGATATGGAGTTCTCGTGGTGATTTTAGCAAGGTTTTAAACGACATAAGTTGTTGTTTCGCGTTATGGCGAACTTTGACGATCTATGTTGTTTTTTAAGGTGTGATAGTTTTATATACATTAAAAAAAGATAAATCACATAATTATATAATTAAATAAAAAATATCAAGTTTTTAGAAGTATTATAGTAACACTTACCATGAAAAAGTTAACAAAAACTCAATTGTTTTAGGTCTAATAAAAAAAACTCACGCCTTGAAAAATAATCACGTCATAACGCACGCGCTAAGGTGCACTTTGACATGATATTTGGCTTCACGTAATAAACTCACCTTCGACGTTTTCATAATGACTATATCACGTCTTGCAGCATGACACACATTTTAGAACCATATATTTTAATGAATAACATCCTATGATAACTTATCTTCTAATTAAATAAAAGATTTAAAAATTAAATGATTTTAAACGTCATATTATTCTTTATATTATTCTTATCATAATTAGACGTCATATTATCTTTCTTATATAAATATATGTTAGCCACCTTGATACCGCATTAAAAGACCTACAACTAAATCGTCCAATTTCATTAACATCTAACAGATTTTTCTTGTCATAACTATCAAGCTTAAAATATAAATCCAACATACTCTTAAACCATTTCTAAATTTACTTATATCCCATATAGGATTTAAACCTTCAACCTAAAAAAATGAGGACAATATTTGGTTCCGCTGGAGTATGAGCCCTTTGGTAAATATATATAATTATAGTAAGTTGGAAAACTCAAAAACCAAATAAGAATATATATATATATATATATATATATATATATATATATATATATATATATATATATAAAGTACATTGATACTTTATTGCAGGTTACCTCATAACAATTTCAAACATGAATGTTTTTGTCACCACCATTTTTTAATGTAAGGTCAATTCTATAAGACATTAGATTGTTTTATAAAATTATTTTCTTTCAAATATATATAAACTAAATATATATAAACTAAAGTACTAACAATGTTACAAGATAAAATATAATAAAATTTATAATGTGTCTAAAACTACTTTTTAAAATATGATTTGCTTTTGTAACCTTAATTAAGTAATATAATCAAACAAAAAATATTTAACTTTGCAAGAAGTTATTGTGCTTTCTAGCTTTCCATTTTTTGAAAAGCAATGTGTGATTTATCATTTATGAATTTAATTGGGTCATTTATTATGAGTGACTGCCTACCATAAGTACATTGAGTGAAGTGGCAGACATATCACATTCGTTCCCATCCAATTGGGAAAAGAAACTGTGGGGGATAGGGTTAGACGACAAACCTATCTGACTCCACATTCATTACGTGTTAAATTGATATAGTTTTTTAGCATTTTTAAATCACGAGATTCATGCAAAATGTTTGTATATACGAATGAGGTGAAATTTACGCTTTTAATATATACGCATGGTTCTTTAAGAGCATACGACGGTCGATTGGACCATGTCGTGGAGCAGGAGCGGTTTTGTATAGGTCCCATAGTGGCATTGCAACACCTATTATGTCTTTTCGTAGTGAATTTTTTTTCGATCTTTTACCTATTTTTTTGACAACACCTATTTAATATTGACAACATATAATAATGTATTCTTGGATCCATCCCTTCCATGGAGGCACCTCGATAATGTTGCCACAAATAACACCCCATAAAACTAAATTCTTTCTTTTTTCCTTTCTTTATTCCTTTTACTTTTCCTCTTTTTTTGCTTCACCTCAACGATGTTAAGACCGACTAGAAGTCATGATGAGTTGCTGGTGATGTGGCAACGTTGTAGATGGATATGGGTGTGCCACACCCAATGATCTAAGTATCTAACAAATTTGCCACGACCAATGATTGAGGAAATTCATCTTAAATTATACAAATTTAAAGTCACTTTTATTTTTGTAACAGCGTAGAACTAGCAAAGAGTTATAATAAAAAGTTTATTACAATAAGAAAATAGAAATATTGGGTTTTGAAACCAACAATCCAATTAGCCTTACAGGTTGTTTGATATGTCTTTTATTGGGTTTGGTAAAAAAAAAAAATTTGACTCGGTCAGATTTAGATTTTTGATATCACATTTAGAAACATCTAACTTGGCATTGCATCATCTAATATGTTTTCTACTCGGTCACATTCAAATTTTTATATTACTTAGACCTTAATTTAATTAGATCTAATTCAATCAGCAACTATTAAATCGCCACTTTCATTGTTGAAAATTCTTTGAAGCCCTTTTTTTATGGCAATGCTTATGAATGGGTTGCATTTGATTGTGCAACATTTAAGAAGTAAATTCATTTTTATGTAATATTTTTCCATTGTTGTTGCATATTTAATTTTAACTGGTGAAAAGGTATGTGTGTTGCACGGGTCGGATTTCCGTCCTCAACACCTAGGAGCAGAAGGATCTGCCCCCTTTGTAGTTACCACAGTCTCCTTCATGCATCTCTTTTAGGATTTCCGCAGCCTCGAGATCTTCTAGGCATCTAAGGTATGGACCTGCCATGGATTTCCTATATAGCTTACCATGGATCATCAAAAAACATGAGACCCTCATTTTGAATGACTTGTCATTTTTTTCTTCCTTCGGGATGGTGCCATTTTGGAGATATTCTACAATGGGTTGAATCCAGGATCTTAAGGTTGGGGAAGGATCCTAGATGCTAGGATCCCGATGAGGAAGTTGAGGATCAGGATCCTCGATTGTAGCGACGTTGGTTGTTACCTCGTCATCATCGGGATCCTTCAGTCTTTTGGCAGGATCCTCGATTGTTGGTATCATCACGTGGATTATCGGGACCCTGGTTTCTGGTGGGATCCTAAGAGAAGATTCTAGATTGGCTAAAGCATCCGCTTCAACATTGTCTTATCTAGGAACTTGGTTTAGGCTGAATGCTTCGAATTCATAGGCTAAATTTTTTAGGATCTGGAGGTATAGTGCTAGTCTTTATCCTTTTACTAAATAGGATCCATTAAAATGGTTAGTTATTAATAAGGAGTCGACATATACCTAAAGATCCTTGGCTAGCTGTAGTCCCATGATTAGTGCCTCGTATTCAACCTCGTTATTGGTTACATCGAACTCATAACTGAGTGCCTGGGGTAGGATGTCCCCCTGTGGTGTCTTTAGTATGATCCCTAGTCCAGTTCCTCTTTGGTTTGATGCTCCATCTAATAATAGTGTCCATCTTCCTATGTTTTCTTCTCCTAGAAATCGTTTAGTTTCTATCTCTACTTCAGCTTGTAGATTATTATTGAAGCCAGCCACAAAGTCCACCAATGCTTGAGACTTTATAGCGGATCTTGGATCATACTTGATGTTGTATGTGCTTAGCTTCAAGGACCACCTTGCTATCCTTCCTTACATTTCTGGTTTTCTCATAACATTCTTAATATGATAATTAGTTCTTACGTTTATAGGATGTGTTTCAAAGTAGTGTCTTCATTTCGTGGAAGCAATTACGAGTGCAAGTATAAGTTTTTCAAGGTAAGAGTACCTGGTCTCAGGATCCAAGTGACTTTTACTTACATAGTAAATGGGATGTTGGTCCCCGTCAAGATCCTTGGCTAAGAGTGCACTCACCGTATTCGAGGATACTGAAAGGTAGAGAATGAGTGGTTCTCCATCTAATTGTTTTACCAATAGGGGTGTTTAACTTAGGTATCTTTTAAGTTCCTGGAAAGCATCTTCGTGCTCCTTAGTCCACTCGAACCTTTTATTTTTCTTCAAAACGCCGTAGAAAGGTTTGAATCTTTCAAAGGATCATGAGATGAACCTGTTTAAATTTGTCACTCTTCCTGTTAGTCTTTGGATATCCTTTGTCGAGGATGGGGATCTTAGATCAATGATTGTTTTGATTTGCTCAGGACTTGCTTTAATTCCTCTTTTGGTCACCATGTACCTAAGGAACTTGCATAATCTCATTTCAAAGTGACACTTAGAGGGGTTCAACTTCATGTTATACTCGTCCAATATGTTGAAGGCTTCTTCAAGATCCTTGAGACGTTCTTCAGCTTTCCTTGACTTGACCACCTTGTCATCAATGTAGACTTCCATGGTGTCCCACAGTTTCTCTTTGAACATTTTGTTGACTATCCTTTGGTATGTTGCACCTGCATTTTTAAGACCAAATGGCATGGCAGTATAACAATATATATATATTGGGGTTATAAATGTTGTATCCTCTTAGTTAGATGGTTCCATTTGGATTTGTTGGAATCCTGCTGATGCATCCATGAATGTTAGTAACTCATAACCAGCCGTGGCGTCTATCATGGAGTATATATGTGGTCGAGGGAAAAAGATCCTTGGGAAAAGCCTTGTTGGGATGCGTATAATCCACACATACTCTCTATTCCTATTATTTTTTTTGTACTATGACTACGTTGGCTAGCCACCTTGGGAACTTCACTTCCTTTATCATTCCTGTCTTTAGAAGTTTTTCTACTTCTTCTTGTAAAATTTGGTTTCTCTCTGGTGCGAACTTCCTTCTCTTTTGGTGTATTGGTTTGAAAGAAGGATCAATATTATGTTTATGGGTTATTATATTTTTTGTCTATGCATGTCATGTCTGCATGCTTCCATGCAAATGTCATGCTTCTAGCTCTAAGGAACTTTATTAGTTCTTGTTCGATTGGTTCTGGTATTGAGGATCCTATGAGAACTTTGGCATCAGGATCCTCAAGTTTCATGGGCACTTCCTTTACATCTTTCTCTCTTGTTCCTAGCACATCTTGTTCCCCCTGCTTTAATTGTTATGCTTGTCATGGTATTGTTGAAGATTTCATCGAGGTCTTTTAGCACTCTTTGGATTCTTGTAGATCACCTGTGATCTTCACTATTCACCATGGGGTGGGCATCTTCACACATTAATGATATGTCGATGGGACTGCCTTCATTTCGTGAATCCATGGTCTACCGAGTATAACATTATAAAAGGATAATGTATCTATTACACAGAAACGTTGCATAGAGTTTACCCCCTCAATGTAGATAGATAGCTTTATTTCGCCGACTGTATGTTTTCTTTTGCCACTGAATCCTATTAATACTGAGGATCTTTTGATTATTTCGGACTCTGAGATGTTCATTCTTTTTAAAGCATCCAAGAGTATAATGTTGAATGAGGATCCTCCATCAACAAGGATCCTTCTGACGAAATGGTTGGTGATGTAAAGAGTGATCACCAATCCGTCGTGGTGAGGATCATGGATGTCTTGTCTATTTGCTTAGTCAAAGGTGATTTCCTTTTCGTTTGTGATTGACGTATTCTTCCGTGGCCTTTCTTCTTTTTCTGTTTTTGGCACCTTGGCATGCCTTTTTTCTGCAGAATAAGAGGTACCACAAATATCAGATCCTCCAGAGATCACATTGATTACCTTAGCGTCAGCAGGAGGGGATCCTGGCTTATTGAGGATCTTCTAAGGATCATGATCTTTCTCTTTGGATCTTTCCTTTCTTCTTCCAAGGATTTCTTTGAGGTATCCTTTGCTTAAGAGGTAGCCGGTCTCCTTCCTGAGAGTTATGCAATCCTTTGTGATATGACCAAAGTCTTCATGGTCTGCACACCATTTGGATTTGTCTTTCCAAGTGGTGAAATTTTCTCCCTTCCTTGGCCATCTTGCTTTATCGCCAAGATCTTGCATAGCAAATATTATTCCTGAAATATACACAGAAAAGCAATAGTTAGTAATCTTAGAAAAATCCTCTTCCTCTCCTTCATCTTCAAGGGCATTAACCCTATGATGATCAGGATTGGAATATGGTTTTAACTTGTAGGATCTTTGTGCTGATGAGTTGGCCTTCCTATTAAGGTGATCGTATGAGCTTGGTGGGTTGCTCCTTTTCTGAATCTCCTTGTCTTCTTCGATCCTTATGAATCTTAATGCTCTACTTCGGACCTCGTCCATTCTCTTGCATGGGGTCAGTACAAAGTCTTCGTAGAAAGGAGAGTCCTTTTTAAGCCCGTTTTAAAGGCTTCGACTGGTGTCGCCATATCAATGTTGGGGATACTCAGATCTTCCCTACCAAACCTATTCACAAAAGTCCTAAGGGATTCCTTAGGATCTTGAACCACTCGATAGAGATCACTAGTGATCTTTTCGAATGTTTAGCTACAAGAAAATTGATTGTTAAGTAAATTAACTAAGTGAGCAAATGAAGTAATAGAGTAAGGAGGAACATTAAGAAGCCTTTTTAAGGCTGATCCTGTGAGGGTCAAACCAAAACCCTTGCACAAGCAAGCTTCCTTCAAGTGTGTGGGAATGGGGATAATTTCCATTCTTTCTTTGTATTGTGCCACATGCTCTTCAGGATCCGTGGTCCCTTCATAAGGCTTCATGCTGGGAGTTTGGAAGTGTTTTGGGACCTCGGTGTCAACGATTGCAGGCACGAATCTCGAGATCATGTAGCTTGTTGGGGATACTTCCGGTATAGGTTGGACTACTCCAGGTACGCTTGAGATCATTTTTCATAACTGTTGAAATTCTTTGTCCATGAGCGAGCTCATTCCTACATCAACATCCATAGAGTTAGTGGTAAAGGTGTTATTATTGAAGAAGTTAACAGGATCCTTGTTATTGGGAATAACAAAGGTGTCTTTGGGATCCTGGATTGTATGGGACTGCTCTCTTGGAGTCGTGTCCCAGGCAGGAATGGAGGTTGGTATTGGGATCCTATCTCATGGCGGTTCACTGAGGATCTCGTGTTGTCGAAGTTTAGGATCTTGGGCTGCAAGATCGAGGGAGCTGCTTCCTGAGGCTTGCGGATCTCTGCCCTTATTCTTTCCATTTCCTTGAGTATCGTCTAGTTATCCTCCTATTTCTAAGTGGCTTGTCGTTCCAGTCTCTTCATCATAGTGAGGATTTCGTTATTAGAAATCGATATATGAGGATCCTAAAACCCTTGGGTAGCAACCGGAGAGGTGTTTTTCTTCGGTGCCTCATAGGTTTTCTTAGGAGCTCCGCCTGGGTGGAGGAAGATTTTCGAGGAAATGGGAGGATTTGAGGAAGAGGATAAGGTCGGTTGGGTAGACATGATTCTTGAACGATTTTGAACACCATGGCCGCACAGTGGGCGCCAAATTGTTTTGTTCAAAAATCAACTAAGTAGAATCTAACCAAATTGTATGAGAGGTTGTGATGTTCGTGGAAAATCAAGTAAGAAATGATAATCAAAGTGACACAAGTGAGTTACTAGGAAAGCCCTTGATCCTTGATAGGATCTCCGACATAAAACCTTGGGAGGTGATAGTGATCACCTGCCTTGGTGATTTTATTGATATAAAATGTTGAATATAGAGATAAATGTATGAATGCAAGTACAATTGTCTTATATGAGATAAGTGTCCATGTAGTTTGCTAGTTACATGTGTTATTTATAGTCTAAATAATGCTAATAACAAGAAGTTCGATAATTCTGGGATCCTCCGGAATCAGCATATGAACGTTATTTGACTTGGTATTCCGGGTCTTTTGCCTGGTTGAGATGACTCTCTATTGAGAATGGGTCTTGTGTCGACTCGTTCTGCATATGTGAGAAAAATAAAGAAAATATAGCCGTCACAAGTGTTATAAATATTAGTGGTAATAGTCAGCATGCCGAGATATGTTTAAGGATCCTGAGGCTTCAGAAGTATTTGAGGATCCTGAATATGATTCAAGGATCTTTCCCCTAATACTCATAAACTCAAATCTTGGTAACAACTGATATATAATCCCCATGATCAAGTTCAACTTACCATGATCGACCTCTCTACTTTTCCTTAGTCCTTGCATATCAGAACAAATGTGGAAACCACATCCTGTATCAAGAATTCATGAACTTGAAATACTAGTGTTATTGATTTCGATAGAGTACATACCATATGTAGAGCCAGACACTTTACCCTTTGCTTCTCGCACTTCTTGTAGGTACTTGGGACAGCTTCTCTTCCAATTTCCCTTTTCGCCACAATGAAAGCACACAACTTCTTTCGGATCACCAACAGGAGGATCATAAAAGTTGACTTTTCCTTTTGACCCACCACTAGACTCTCCAATGTGGGCTTTCCATTTCCATTTGGGTTGGTAATAAACCTTCATTTTCTTCCTCTTGCCTTGTTGAATAGCCATGACTGGAGAACTTGTTGACAGTTCAAATGGGACTTCTTCCTTCCAACTTCGGTAGTTTGCAATAGATTATGAAGCTCAATCAATGTGGTTTCAGTATTGTTCAAATGATAAGTTAAGTTAAACTGATCATAACTACTTGGTAAGAAGTTTAACATCGTGTCAATGGCAATCTCCTTTTCACAATTCACATTAAGCTTCTCCAATCTTTCTATGTGTCTCTACATCTTTTACACATGATCACACACAAATTCCCCTTCTTTCAACATTCACATCATTAGGGACTTGAAAACTTCATAACGCTCTTGCCTTGCTTTATTGTGGAACCTTTGAGCAAGAGCCAAGTTCATTTCGTATGGCTAATAGTCCTCATATGACTTTTGTAGATCAAGTGTCATGGTTGCAATCATAAGGCAAGCGACCTTAGTGGAATCTTCAATGTGTTGTTTATGTGCAAAAATTTCCTCAAGTGTAGCAGTTGCTTCATCAATTTTAAGAACTAGATTCTCGAGAACATACTCTTTGTTCTCGTAGCGAAGTGTCATCTACAAATTCCACATCCAGTCCATATAGTTTGGACAAATAAGCTTCTCTTTTGACAAAATTGACAATATAATGAAATTATGAGTGGGTAGAGGAGGAGGAGGAAGATCACCATTTTTAGGCATGAACATTATATAGAACATAAACAAGCACCACAACTGCTGAAAAAAATCCAAACCGAATATAGGAGGCAGTGTCGATATTTCCCAACAGAAATATGTTGAGAAATATAGATACACATGGTATCCATGGCATAAGTGGGACCCCCCAAAAATCAGGCTTTCTTGCTTGTGGGACCATGTAACTGAACAACTGTACTAATCCAACTCCAATTATAGAACATCCACCAAGCATGAACCCTTTAGGTTTCCCGGGCGGTGCGAACCACCATAGCAGGGTAAACATGATGGAAGTGAATGAAAAGTTTAACAAGAACGACAGTGTGGGCCATGGGGTTGTGGTCCCCAGTGAGACATATCGTCTGTAAATGACTGCGTTTGAGACCATTAAGAAGACAAAAAGTGTTCCGATGGAAACAAGGTTGAGGAGGACGTGTAGCTCCGTGAATAGCGCTATCGCCGCAATCAAAATCCCTAAAAGTCAAAATACATACTATTTAGTCAAAAAAAATTCTAGAAAAATTATTTTAAAAGGAATCAAGGATTATCTAAACATATGGGAAGACAAACAAAATCTTAAAATTCACAAAAGATTTAGGACAAGTACATCAAGAAGTTGTTCAAGGAAAGTAAGTTTTAGTAAAAGTCAAATTTTTAAGACATTAAAAGAATGGATCTAATTTAGTGGTTGTAAAAGAAGGAATTCACAAGACCCACATGGTAAATACATGTGAATTTGGCTCAATTCCTCCATATCTCTACCTACTGCATAAGCGTGAATTAGGCTGCATAAAATAAGTTAATTTAATGCAGGAAAATGAAAAAAGAGGACAAATTTGCACTCAATATAGCAATATCCCTTACGTGGTAAATACATGTGAATTTGGCTCAATTCCTCTACCCCTCATGCTCTCAAACATTTCTCTTGCTCGATGCATGTCACCTTTCTTTGCATAATATTTAATCATCAATCCAAACTCTGTCCTGGAAGGCTATAATAGTCAACTTTTAGAAAAAAGAATCAATTTATTTATAAAATAGAGTAAAGAAAGAATGTTCAGGTTCTAGATACCTTTTTGATCATTTCAAAAGCTTCAACAATAGCTTGCCAATTTTTTGGTTGACTTCCTAACACATTTTTGAGCTCTTTTCTTGAAACATGTCTCTCTTCTTCCTATTTTGACTTGTAATCTACAGTGTCATCCCCTTCAATCCACCTAGCCCTATCTGCAGATTTCTCCTTCATTCGCCTCCCATCATCAAGTTTTACAGTTAACACCCTCCCATGAAACTCCATACCATCAAACTCAACTGCTTTCATTGCTGAATTTTCAGCTGTTGTGCCTCCATATATTACAAACCCAAACCCCATGTTTCTTTATGTATCGTTGTAACGCTTTATTGATATCACTTTCTTTATTGGTCTAAATTGTCTGAACAATTCTTCAAGCTCGTTCTTTGTTATCCACCATGGAAGATTCCCCACAAAGATTTTCCCCTTATCTCTGTACTCAATTCGTGTGGGTCCCAAATCACTGTTGTTTACGATTTCATCCAAATCAGTTTTGTAAGCAGAAGAATCTGGCGGTGGTTGTGGTGGAGCTGGTGGACGTGGAGGTGGAGGTGGCGGTGGGGGAGAGAGTTTGCTGGTTAACCAGAGCTTCTATGTTAGGGTTTGTGAGTTGTTATTATTATTGCCAATTGGGTTTCTTTTAAGTGTTTGAAGGGGATTAGTGATGTGGGTTTTGGGTTTTGGAGGGTGGGGATTGGTGGTGATGGGTTTAAACGGTGGTTTGTTGTTGGTGGGGTGGCGGAGGGACGAGGAGGTGGAGGTGGAGGTGGAGGTGGAGGTGGTGGTGGTGGTGGGGTTTTCAGAGTCATGGGAGCAAGCGGTGATGGAGTAGAAAGGGAGAATGGTGGTAGAAAGGGAGTAAGGCTTACCAGAGAAAGTGGAGCAGTAGTATGTGGTGGAGGAAGCAAGGGACAAGTTATCCATGACGATGGAAATTGGTGATTGTATTCAGCCAGTTCGATTGGTAGATTTTGTAATCTGATATATACGAGTTTTTTTAGTTAACAGTTTAATCCAAAACATGTTTTTAGAAAGTGTAATCTAGATACAAATCTTTAAATTAAAGGTTTTAAATTGAGCGATAATCAAATGAATCCTTTAATCATTGAACTTTTGTGAAACTGATCCACAAAAAAAGAGCTGACTTTGAGGGGTAGTCATGTTTTGACCAAAAACAATTACCTAAAAATTGTTCCCTATTTGTCATGTGAACCATCTTCAAAAGTTGATGGACTACATAACACACAATAAAGAGATCAATTCAACCCACTATACAACTTCACCAAATTTAATTGTATTCTTCCCCTTCATATCTCTCTATCAACAAAATTATAATTAAACAAAAAAAGCAAAAAAAGTCAAAGGTCAACTTTGCATTTTTAGAGTTTGATCCTCTATGTCAATTGATTCTTTCACCATTTCAACATTTTTTTGACAAACAGTCCCATTTTCCTCACCATCAAAGCTAGCATGAACACTATATAGAACATAAACAAGCACCACAACTGCTGAAAAAAAATCCAAACCGAATATAGGAGGCAGTGTCGATATTTCCCAACAGAAATATGTTGAGAAATATAGATACACATGGTATCCATGGCATAAGTGGGACCCCCCAAAAATCAGGCTTTCTTGCTTGTGGGACCATGTAACTGAACAATTGTACTAATCCAACTCCAATTATAGAACATGCACCGATCATAAACTCTTTAGGTTTGCCGGGCGGTGCGAACCACCATAGCAGGGTAAGCATGATGGAAGTGAATGAAAAGCTTAACAAGAACGACAGTGTGGGCCATGGGGTTGTGGTCCCCAGTGAGACATATCGTCTGTAAATGACTGCGTTTGAGACCATTAAGAAGACAAAAAGTGTTCCGATGGAAACAATGTTGAGGAGGACGTGTAGCTCCGTGAATAGCGCTATCACCGCAGTCAAAATCCCTAAAAGTCAAAATACATACTATTTAGTCAAAAAAATTCAAGAAAAATAAATTGATTTTTTTTTCTAAAAGTTGACTATTATAGCCTTCCAGGACAGAGTTTGGATTGATGATTAAGTATTATGCAAAGAAAGGTGACATGCATCGAGCAAGAGAGATGTTTGAGAGCATGAGGGGTAGAGGAATTGAGCCAAATTCACATGTATTTACCACGTAAGGGATATTGCTATATTGAGTTCAAATTTATCCTCTTTTTTCATTTTCCTGCATTAAATTAACTTATTTTATGCAGCCTAATCCACGCTTATGCAGTAGGTAGAGATATGGAGGAATTGAGCCAAATTCACATGTATTTACCATGTGGTCTTGTGAATTCCTTCTTTTACAACCACTAAATTAGATCCATTCTTTGAATGTCATCAAAAATTGGACTTTTACTACAACTTACTTTCCTTGAACAACTTCTTGATGTACTTGTCCTAAATCTTTTGTGAATTTTAAGATTTTGTTTGTCTTCCCATATGCTTAGATAATCCTTGATTCCTTTTAAAATAATTTTTCTAGAATTTTTTTTGACTAAATAGTATGTATTTTGACTTTTAGGGATTTTGACTGCGGTGATAGCGCTATTCACGGAGCTACACGTCCTCCTCAACCTTGTTTCCATCAGAACACTTTTTGTCTTCTTAATGGTCTCAAACGCGGTCATTTACAGACGATATGTCTCACTGAGGACCACAACCCCATGGCCCACACTGTCGTTCCTGTTAAGCTTTTCATTCACTTCCATCATGCTTACCCTGCTATGGTGGTTCGCACCGCCCGACAAACCTAAAGAGTTTATGATCCGTGCATGTTCTATAATTGGAGTTGGATTAGTACAATTGTTCAGTTACATGGTCCCACAAGCAAGAAAGCCTGATTTTTGGGGGGTCCCACTTATGCCATGGATACCATGTGTATCTATATTTCTCAACATATTTCTGTTGGGAAATATCGACACTGCCTCCTATATTCGGTTTGGATTTTTTTTCAGCAGTTGTGGTGCTTGTTTATGTTCTATATAGTGTTCATGCTAGCTTTGATGGTGAGGAAGATGAGACTGTTTGTAAAACAAGCTTTGATCGCTCAATTTAAAACCTTTAATTTAAAGATTCGTATCTAGATTACACTTTCTAAAAACAAGTTTTGGATTAAACTGTTAACTAAAAGGACTCGTATATATCAGATTACAAAATCTACCAATCGAAATGGCTGAATACAATCACCAATTTCCATCGTCATGGATAACTTGTCCCTTGCTTCCTCCACCACATACTACTGCTCTACTTTCTCTGGAAAGCCTTACTCCCTTTCTACCACCACTCTCCCTTTCTACTCCATCACCGTTTGGTCCCATGAATCTGAAAACCCCACCACCCCACCTCCACCTCCTCGTCCCTCCGCCTCCCCACCAACAACAAACCACCGTTTAAACCCATCACCACCAATCCGCACCCTCCAAAACCCAAAACCCACATCACTAATCCCCTTCAAACACTTAAAAGAAACCCAACTGGCAATAATAATAACAACTCACAAACCCTAACAGAGAAGCTCTGTGTGACATCCCCATTTTTACGGCCAGAAAAGACCGATTTTGTTTATGCTTTTTAATAAAAATCAGAGTAACTTCTTAAGAAAAGCATTGCGGAATTTGTTCCCAAAACAAAATATGATATAAATTTTATCAAAGCATTACTTAAAGAAATGTATTTCCATTACATTACAAAAACTCGGGATGTCAATCATCGATACAGACCATAAGCATAAACTAAAAAGAAATAAACATTTTAGGCCACAAAACACTATCTGGCCTCAAATCCGTAATCCCTCGTCAAATCATCCAACTATGCTTTTTCCACTACCTGTAATACAAGAAACTGAGTGGGTCAGGCTGGGGAGTCTGGTGAGCATATAGTGTTTTCAACCCACAATAATAAGTTCATTATTTATTTTCATCAAATTACTAACCCGGTTACCCGTTCTCGTTATCCTCACTTTACGTCCCTAGAGCATCTATTATAAGGGACCTATCCTAAGGAATTTCATCGGGATGGACACTACTGCTAAGGGGGTTCCTCAGCCATATGTGTCCGTAAGGCAACCATGGGGGGGATGGAGTACACCGGTGAACACTTCGTTCACAAACACCTACAGGTTGCGAGCCTGCTAGCGTTCCACTGGACTTCCTAGAAAAGTCTGTGGTCGTCATCCATACTCCGCTAGATGACTGGAACAACGTCAACATTGAGGCCTCTCATCATTTTATTTCACCACAACAACTATTTTATCTACCCATGTTCTACCCAACATATTTGTAGATATAAAATACATACATGGTACAGATCTATAAAGTAAAGCTTACATCTTTTATGCAACATAACTTTTAAAGAATAAAATACATATATAGTCCAGATCTGAAGGAAAGAGGTTCAGATCTTTCATCCAACCTAGATCTCAAAGTATACAGTTTAGATCTGAGAAAGTGTAGATCTGAAAGAAAAGGTCTCAGATCTAAAAGAAAAGTCTTAGATCTGAAGGATAAAGTGTAGATCTGAAGGTAAAAGTTTCAGATCTGAAAGAAAGAAGCATAGATCTTTCATTCAACAACATCTCAAGTAAATAGCTAACATATACCTATACACATAGCACATAAATTACTTCATATCTATGTGTAAGATGAAAGTGACTATACACTCACCTGATACGGAGTGATTCGGACAGCACCTTGCTTCTAAAAATAACCTTCTTTGACGAAACTGGGAAGTTTGCTTGAAAACCGGGCTCTGCGCGGGCAGAGTTTCAAACCGAAAAACTCTTTTTCTTGGAGACTCCGGGAGCCTCGGGGCTTCCTTCAGGTGCTAGGGGGTTCACCTAGGCTTAGGAGGGTGTTTGGGTGAGTTAGAGAGAGAATAGAGAGAGAAAGTAGAAGGATTTGGTGTAAAATACTCGGCAGCCCTCGCAGCCCTTTTATAGGCGCGAGCCTCCTCGGAACGCTGGGCGTACCCTCGGTGGTACGCTGCGCGTAGGGGCAGGTGTCTCGCTTCGGGTGGGGCGACGTGGCCATCTCTGGAACCGCAGAAAAAGTCAATACGCGGGGCATAGGGTCCTCGTACGCGGGGCGTAGTTGGTACGCGAGGCGTCCGAAGTCTACGCTGGGCGTAGCCTCGCATCCAGCTTCGCAAATTACACACTTATCTTCTAAAAATCATAATTTTCGCATGCGAGCTTCGTTTTCGACGTTCTTTATATCCACGCGTAGGCAGGAACGTAATCTACAACTTTCATTTAGAATCCGTCGGCTAATTTTGATTTTAT